AAAGCTAAGATAACTAACTGGAAAATTAACACAAGGCAAACATTCCCTAGGATGTTTGGTCAGTAAAAACTCACAATACTAAATCCATTAGTTGAATGACTATTGTTTTCTTGGTGGTTTAAAAAATAAAATTTGAATATACAATCATACATTTTACATTTTTATATCTTATTAGTATGACTAACATTACCCACTTTTATATTGAGAGCCTATTCTATGTTGACCTAGAGAAACAATATTCATTATATGTAATACAAATTTAAATGTCCAAAAAGGATTTCTGGATGTATTTTTTTTTATTCCAGTTTTCAAAGAAAGAGACTTTAGAGTTCATTTAGCTTCCCAGACAGACGGGCTCTGAAGTACACATTTAATACAATCTCATATTTAAAAAAAAATAGAATGAAGATAGATAAAAAAAAAAAGAACCTTCACAGAAACCTCACAGTATTTTCCTTCAGGATATGTATTCTATTGCCGATAGCATTAAGATTAACAAATAGTTATGTCCATAATGTTAGTATAAGTATAATCAAATTATAGAAGTGGACAACTCTGTGATAGAAAGAAAACTTTATGAAACAAACGGCCCGACTGCCTCAGTGAGAAGAAGGCAGTAATGAGGTGGAAGAGCAAACAGATTTTATGTGATAGTCAACAGATTGGGAGTCTTTGACATGATACAGGGTACTCAGATCAATCAGACTCATCAGGAATTAGACACCCTTGCCTGAGGCGATTGATCTTTTCTGGTAGATAAGGGAGGTAGTGGTTTTCCTGGTAAATAGAAATCTGAATATTACTATTTCTGAGAAATGCTAAGTTAGGCTTCTGTTTACCCAATAAAAATCTTTTCTTTTAGTTGGTTAGAATCTGGGTTCTATTTCCTACCTAATGTGCAAAGCTTTTTGATGATGATAAAGGTGCCAAGGTAATCCCCTGGCTTCTTCTTGCTGCCCGGGAGCTGGAGAAGGATCTGGTGGTGTGGAGTTTCACCTGCTGCTCTAAATCAGGCAGTGTTAGGAGACCTGAGAAAGTTCTCTCAGAACTATTTGGTTTACTGGTCTTAGGTTATTTCACTAATTCTCTCCTGATGGAACCTGAAAAAGATGGATAACAATTGTTGTAAGAAAGACAGAGCCCAGAGTGCCCACAACAGTAGGAGCCAGGACCTCTGAGAAAATTTGAGAATTCTAAATTAGAGTCAGACTTTGGAGGTCATAGTTTGTAAACCAGATTGTGTAAATATTTAATCCTCTTTCTACCTGAGCAGACCAGTTCTCATCATAGCAATATTCTTCATTGAAGAAGAGGTCCTCTTTCTCAATGTTTAGCATCTTCAAAGCTTGGTGTTTTTCTAGGACACCAAGGGTAGAAAAGTGATGAGCTTTTGAAGCAATTACATGTCTGAGATTAATTCCTGGATGATATCTGCCAGCTGGGAGTAAATCTGCTGATATATATATATATATATATATATATATATATATATATATATATATATATTTCTACTAAGGCCAAACTTGTGACAATCACCGAGGTTTCCAAAAAGACTCCAGTTATGACCAGGACAGCAGTATATTGCTGTTTTCTGTGTGTGAATTGAAGGAGAATATAGAAGTCTCCTTCAATGTATAGGGTAAGTTGAAGAAGTAAAAGAACAGGGGGAGCTGAAAGTGAAACCAGAAGAGAGCTCTTTCCAGGGCTATTACGGTTCCAGAAGTTGACATATTATGGACTGAGAGAAGAGGAGCTCAGGCTGTGGCTCAAACACAAGTTACAGTAGAGGTAGGTGATGAGGAAGAAAATATTCAGAAGACAGTTTTGATAGATGTGTCTTAAGCAAACCCTTTAGTTCTTTTTGCCTTTCTTGAGGACTGGGGCAGTAGGAAATGCCCAATAGGAAGCTTGATTATGCCCATAAGTCTTTAACACCAATTAAGGTACCTTAGACATAGATGCTGGACCATTATCCGATTGCACAAATCTAGGAAATCTAAATCAGGACAGAACATAATTCACCAGGTGGAAAGAGATTACGACTGCATTATCACCCATAGTAGGGAAAGCTTCTACCTATGCGAATGTCTTAGTTAGGGTTACTATTGCTATGATAAAACACCAAGACCAAAAGTAAGTTGTGGAGGAAAGGGTTTATTTGGCTTATGTTGTCAAATCCATAATCCATCACTGAAGGAAGGTAGAGCAGGAGATCAAATGAGGCAGGTACCTGAAGCAGGAGCTAGTGTGGAGGCCATAGAGGAATGATATTCATGGATTCTTCAGCCCACTCTCTTATAAAAGTCAGGACCAGAAGCCCAGGGAGGGCAGTACGTACAATTGTCTGGGCTGTGCCCCATCATTAACTAGTTAAGGAAATGACCTTAAGACTTACCCTAAACCTGATCTTATGGAGGCATTTTCTTAATTGAAGTTCCCTCCTCTCAGATAGCTTAATTTGTGACAAGCTGACATAAAACTATTCAACATACCTGAGAAACTTTCTATCATTGTAAGAAGACATTTATGCCCTTGTTGGGATGCATGTGTGATACCTACCTCCTAGTCATCCCTAGGAAGATTATCCTGAAATTGTGTGTTGAAGTGGAAAGGGTGTCAGAAGGGCCCCTGTAGTTAATGTTGGGTACAGGTGTAGTATTTCTCGTTGACAGAGTTAAGATGGACAGAAAGGGCAGGATAAAAGAGGAGAAGGAATTGGTACAGAGGTCAAGGCCCAAGGTTAAATGTGAAAAGTCCCATGTTTAAAACTGTCAGGAAGGTCTTTGCCTGTGTGTAAAGGAGACGTGACCTGTCCTGCAGAAAAACTCAGCCCTGAGGGCCTACTATGGCATTCACAGTCTTGAGAACCTGCTATTGGGACTCAGGGTATCTACAGGTTAAACTTGGAGGAACCAAAAGATGATAGGAGGAAGGAAGACGGGGGTTGATCTCTTTATCAGTCTTGTCATCAAAAACGTTTCCCAAAAGAGTATCTAGAGCCCTGGTGACCTTGACAGTAAACAACTATCACCTGCTTAAGAAAAAAAGAAACTTCTAGCATCCTTAGTCTTAGTAGACCTTTGGTAATAGCTGTACACTACGTAGTGATGAAGTTCTTGTCTTGACAACAGGAAGCATGGTAGTGATGAATATGCAATACATATTTAGAATCTTTGTGTGTAGTGATTTTTTTCTCATGATAATGTAAGGGCTCTAATGAGAGCTACCAGTTTTGCTTTGTGAAAAGTGTATCTGGTAGTACAGTGGCCAACTCTACAACTTGGTCAGAGAAGAACAAGGCATCATCTACTTGGTGGGAGCCCATGGTGCTGAGAGATGAGATTTCCTTAACAAACTAAGAATTGTCAGGATGTGACAGTGTGGAAACAGAGAGCTGTGGATTTTTGTAGGAAAGACTTTTAAGTGACTCTATGCAGTAATGGGTGGCTATAGTGGCCTTGGGAAGGAGTGAAGCCTGGTTGGAAGGAGGGCAGATATCAAGTAAGACACTGGAATTTTCAAGAAAGTTTATATGAAATAGATGAAACTTGGAGAGGAACAAAGTAGAGGTCTTAAGGATAGGACATTCCTGAGTCAGTGTGGTAAGAGTACAAAGAGGACTAAAATAATGAACTTAGACTCCTACTGGGCTAATAGTGGTGTTGTTGCTAGGTTTCATATGCAAGATTACCATCACCTAAGAGTTGTCCAGTTCTTTAAAAAGATACACAACAGGAATAATGATGGATCATCTCAATTGTCCCTAAAACTTCCCAGTCTGTTTACCATTTTTTAGTAATGCAAAGGATAAAGGGTTGTAGCAGGCTTTCTCAGACCTCCAGATCCCAAACCATAACAAAGAATCTTATTGTTAGTTATAAAAACTAAGCCTTAGTTTAGGTTCCTTACTTGCTCATTCTTATAACTCAATTTAACCTGTTTCTTTTTCTCTATAGTTCCACGGGGCTTTTAACATTTCCTTCATTCTGTATGTCCTACTCTCTGTTTCTAACCCTGGGTATCTTCCTCTCTTTCTCTTTCATTCTCTTTTCCCTCATCTAGATTCCTCTTCCTACTTATTCTCTCTGACCATCAGTCCTACCTGTCCATCTACTGTCTAGCTATTGACTCTTCAGCTTTTTGCTAGACCAATCAGGTACTTTAGGCAGGCAACACATATTTACATCATTAACTAAATGCAGCAAAACGAATGTAAAACATCTTTACATAGTTAAACAAATACAACATAAACCTTTACATAGTTAAAGTCATATTCCTCAGCATAAAGAAATATAACACATCTTGAAATGATTGGCTTCCCAGCCTCTGGCTGTTTGGAGTTGGGCAGTTCTACCCAGTAATTGTCTGGGTAGACAATTACTACTCTTGTAAAGAAGAATAGACTTCTCTGTTCTATTCTTGATGACAAAACTGAAAATTTTCTCAGTACCTCCTTCTGTAAATGGTAGTGCTGCAAATACTTTAGTTTCTGGGAAGACTTGTCAAAGAATCTTCTTCTGTAAAACCATATACAAGGAGAAATCCAGTACATTCTCATTCTGTATGAGGACACAGCATATTCAGGATAAGCTGCTAAGGTGAGCATGCTTAGGGAATGGCTTCCCTACCTCTTCACTTTGGCTGCTTCTGTATCAAGAGGAAGGTCTTCTTACTCCTACCTCTGTATTTGCTACTCTGGCCTTTATGTAGGGTATGTTATGAGTTGAGAAATCTCCAACTTTTGCCTACCCTTAGACCTAGAACCTTTATAAAATAATTAAATCTCCATGAGTTGAAAGCCAACCTGACTAACCAACCAAGACTATCTTGAAACAAATAAAGGATTGGGAGTAGGTGACCAGGCATGTGCAAGTCTCTCTCTGACATACATAATGCCAGAAAAAACAAAGGAAAAGGATCTAAACTGTGCTGGGGATAAGTTTTCTGGTTAGCACGTGTAAATTCCTGACATCCTTACCCAGTATTACAAATAAAGGAGAGTGCTCTCTTCTGCAGCGCTTATACTAAAATTGAAACAATACAGAGAAGTTTAACATAGCCCTGGAGCAAAGATGACAGGTGAGTTCATGAAGTATTTCACATTTAAAACAAAAATAAAAAATATTAGGGGGTTAAAAATAAAAGATGGAAAGAACAAAGAGAAAAAGGAATGGGGAAAGTGTTTAAATTCTTCCAGAACTATTTTAGTAATGCCTTGAAAGATTCAGCAGAAACAAATTGCTTCTAAACTAATGAAATGATTCAACAATTCCCTAATATAGTAAGACCTACTAAGAAACAATGACACCAAAATAAGTTACAGAAAACATAAGTGTGAACAAATACAAATTAGATAAATAGCAAATGCGCACAATAAAAGCAAACACCATGAGCCTTCTGCAGATTTTGCCACTAACGTCCAATGTTTCAAATCTTGATTTCCAAATGCACACATAAAATTTTAAAAATAAATAAACAAGAAGGAAGACAAAGAAAATATAAGAAACAGAAATACCTTATAAGAAAAATGGAAGTGCAGTAGCTAGAACCTCCATCCATAATGCACCATTTAGATAGGTGCTCTAATAGCATTACAGCAAAACCAGAATAAATCATCTCATCATATTCTGTTTACTAAAGGATGCAAAAATTAATGATAGACCACTTGCAGATTTCACAAGTAGTTCTGATGCCATCTCACTTATTAAATTTTGATAGATGCTGATAAAACTGAAAGGCACGATCAATCAAAAGCCACAGGCTACTTGTAAAATGAAAACATCTTTGCAGTTCCCAGCGTGGAACTTCATGCGTCATGCATGGTTCATGAAGACTCTACCACTGAGTTATAGTTGCACCCTAAAGAGAACAAAAATATCTTAAAAGCAGTTTAAGCATCTAAATGAATTCCTAATCGTTCATCAATTGTTTTATTTCCCAATTCAAAGGTAAATATGAATGGCTCTACTTAGTCATAAAATATGAATGATCAAACATATCACAGTGGCTGGATTCTCACAAACCATTCATGTTCAACTGAAAATGTTCCCATGGTATGATACTGAAATTTGGAGAGGAAGCAATCCAAAGACCATTACATACCTGATAAGTCAGGTGGAAGGAAATCCACATTTTGCCTTGAGGAACCCTTTTTGAAAGACAATGAAGCATCACTTCATAGATGATGTTTTTTGTGCAGAAGTGCTTATCAGAACAGACTTGGCATGGTATGCAACTGTGTAAGGTGTCAGAATCATATCACTCTTTGACTAGATCTTTCTACTGGGGAGAGTTTAAAAGAGGTCATCCTTTCGATGATGTTTGAAGTCTTCCCAAAACAAAAGTGACATCCATCCAACAGTTTTGACAACAGATGCTCTCTGATGGGCCAGCTCATCTGTGGACCTCCAGAAGCTTCCTATTTTTTTCCCCATTCACAGACTTTGCTGCTCAAACAGGTTTTTACCCAATTAAAATTTAGGATCCAGAATCCACTGAGAATCCCCAAAATACACTTCAAAATACATTGAGCTTCATCATTCAGGATCAGTAAAATAAGTTATTGTACTATCAAATACAGCACATCTTATAATAATAAGAACTATCCCCACACACATAAAACATGTAAAAATTTGTGTGGTGGTGGTGGTGATTGATTTTAAATCCTAGAACTCTGGACACAAAGGTAGGCAAATCTCTGTGGGTTTGAGACCAGTCTACAGAGCAAGTTCCAGGACAGACTCCAATGCTACACAGAACAAAGTAACCCTGTCTCGAAAAAAAATAAGTATGAACTATCTCAAGTTTGCTAAGCATATGAATTTTCTATTCTGAAAAAACTCCACTGCCTTTAAGCACCAGCAGCCCAGTGTTTTTTTCTTTTTCACTGCCGAGCATTCACCATCACGGAGTGGCTAGTTGAGAATGACTCATTCTTTTCTGGTAGCAGAAACAATGACTTTATATTATCATTGTATGTATAATCAATTGGTAAGGCAACCAATATGTTAAAAATGTTCCTGAACATTTATCGGCAAATCAATCCCAAGCCAGTTATGTTTTAAGGGGTTATTTATTTTGGGGGGTAAAACTTACATACACCATAAACCGTCAGGAAGGGAGCCTAGTCACTGGAGAAGGAGCCGGGAGCAGGAGTCAGGAGGAGGAGCCGGGACCAAGCGCCGGAACCAAGAGGGCCTGATCAGGATCTGTGTCTCTTTTTAAAAGAGAAATATACCACGCCCCAGTGGGCTGGTATTTCAGCGGCTATTGGCTGACGGAGCGGAAGTCGCTACCCGCTGCACTGTGGGCTTGTGCTTCAGCGACTATTGGCTGAGGCAGCGGAAGATACTCCCACAACAAACATTCCTGAAGGCATACACTTGACCACAACTATGAATCCATTACTGTCCACATCATAGAGCAGAGTCATTTAATAGTAAGTAGTGTTCCTCAAGCATGATGAAATAGTCATTCACTACCTTCTAGTCCCCAGGACTGCAGACTTCATGCAACATTGCCCATCCATAATGATTTTTGACTGTTGGGTTGGTTCCATTATAAAAGAAGTATTCAACAGAAGGTATATCACCCTTTATAGAAGCAATATGAAGTAAAATATCTCCTCTGGTTTCTTTTCCCCTAGAAATACTCGGTGACAGATTCAGTGTAGAGGAATTTGATATTATTTCTCTGTGAGCTAAGTTATTCTGCATAGGTGGGAGTGTGCTTGTGAAGTGAAGACAGTCATGTGATATAGGACTGTTTCTCCTGAGTGTGACATCAACTTGAAGTTGGCCTGAAAGCAGTGAACAGTCAATCAGCGGTACTTTTTTTTTGTGCAGGTCCTGTTGACTTAATCAAATCTCTGCTGTCACTTGGAGTGTTGGTCTCTTAGAAGTAAAATTGGGAGGCCTGCTGCAACCTTGGCAATTTCTATGATATCCCAACTGACAAAGTCTTTACAGAAACTTTCTCAGGAATCTCTTCACTCTTCCTCACAAGACACTATATACTCCACCAGGGGTAAAGAGACCAGCCAAGCTTCCATAACATTGAGATTCTGCGACACAGCCTCTTGCTAGTAAGTCTCATTCACCATTTCCCAGTAGACTCTCAATAACTGGTGGTTGACCACAGAAAGAGATAGGCCTCTCCTTCAATTCATCTTCAGAATCACATTTGCAGTACACTGTTTCTGGCTATAAAATTCCACACCTGGATGATTTTAGCTAAAGGTTTCTCCTGTTTGTTTTGTGCAGATGCCATAGAAGCTGTTTTAACAGTCTTGGAAATAACTTCAGGAGGACTTGTAGAAACAGATTCACACACTGCAGCTTGCCTGACTTCATCATCCTTTCCCTCTCAATATAAGTCTTGCACTGACACATGTGGCCTTCTTACTTTGAGGACTAACCCTCATTTATCAAATTATTCTTTCTGTATTGCTAAATCAACTTGTTCTAGATGCTTCTTTTTGGGAATCTCAAAGTTTATTATCAAGTAGAAAATGTAGAAGTTTATTAGAAAGCTGGCTTTTGCTATTCAATTGTCTCCTTATCTTGAGGTCTAGAATCCAGGGTGGGGTGTAATACACTGACCCCACTGATCACAGTCACTTCTATAGTCAACACAGGCATGCTCATGGTCTCCTAAGCACATAGACTCCTTCAGAATATTAGCACTTTGGGAGTAGCACAGCAATTTCTCTAGGCAAGAAAGCTGCACACATCTGTGGGGACACGGCTGGGCATGACAGATGTGAAAGGAAGCTCCTTCATGATTGGACCTTTAGTCACAAGGCATTCTCTCAGAGGCTGGGAGGTCTGTGCTTGGACTCTGCTGGATGTCCCATTGGTCACATCTGTTGCAGCTCCACTTGGAGTTTCAAAGCCTGCAAGATGCCTGGGTCAGTGCTGCCAAGTTGATTTAAGAAATTTAAATGTCATGAGATAAGCAACTAGAACCACAAACAAAAATAGGTTAACTTTTAGCTTTTCTCAAATGTACAGTCTTCTCCTGGGTTGGGCTGTTGTACTCCTTTTCCCTGTCAGAATGCCAGAGGACAAGCCTGACCCAGCACAGAGGCTTTGGAAGGAGCTACTAGACAAGTACTCTTGGATCTATCATGGGCAAGCCAAAAAATGCCATCTTCTAAGTCAGATCTTAGTACAGTAAAATAACATTTGACAGTTTTCCAAAATAATTCATACCCCCAAAGGTATTGGAATCTCTGTAATACTGAACCCAGTAACTAGAGGGAAGGACAAGAGTGGAGAGCAAGGAAAGCTTAGAGATAAGGTATTTTAGATCGTTTGCTTTTACAGTAGGAGCATTTATCACAATCTGTGAGAATTAAGAAATGAAATGTATCTTTTTCTGAACGCTGAGACTGGTTATCAGGCCTGTGTTGAGGCTACACATATTGTTGCAAAGAAAAAAGTCAAAATGGCCAAGCTAAACTGCATTTCTCAGTTCACAGAGGGGGAAAATATTTGGGAAGGCAGGCGAGAGCTGCTGTTGAAAGATGGTTAGCAGTAAAGAATTCCTAAAAGCAGAGCAAAGAAGAGGCAGGAGAGATTTAGAAAAGAGTTTTTCTTTCAAGTCCAGGTATTAGAGGCTATAAATAGGAATCTCACAAGAAAGGAGCTCCAAAAGCTAGCAACAGAGACACAGGGATGTTGACAAGGTAAGGTGTAAGTGTTGTAGCAGAGTCTCAATTCAAGTACATTTTCAAGGGACTGAGAATCGTCATAGAGATGCTCAGGAGGACAGTGAAAAGGTGTCCTCCAGTGGAGAGGTGATGACGCCCTCAGACAGTGATCAAAGGATGCGTGGAATATTGGTACAACTTTCGTTGAGCCAGAGAGGCAAGAAAGTAAATGAGAGAGACAGAGCAAGTGACTCCTGAAGAACAGTTACCTGAGTAGGTGAAAAGAGATGGCTGGGGGGAACAAGTAGAGGAGGAAAGCAACTGAGAAGATGGTGTGTAGATTTAGAGTCAAGTGTGGTGGATGGCAGAAGCCAACAAGGGCAGGAGACTCAAAATGGCAGTTGGGTTTTTTTTAGAAGTGATTGAGCTTTCAAGGAGTCCATTCTGACTCTCCC